TAGCTTACAATCGTTTACGTGCATGAGCGCTGCCTGACGCGTGATGCTGCATGCCTATTTAACTTAACTCGTTTGCATGTATAAATGATGCGTGATACGTGATGCATGCCTAGTTCAATTCGCTTGAAAGTTTGGGTGAAGCGTAGTGCGTAGTGCCGGTTTATTTGAATTCGGTTGCATGCGCACGTATTATTCGCGTACTCTTAATATTAGATGAGCACTGTATCGCGGCAGTAATGGCCATCAATTGGTCCTTGTTTCATCCCCTCAATGTTGGTGATCTGTAAAAACTGCGTCTGAATGTTCAAAAAAAGGGCTGCATTATCGAGAAGGATCGGCGGGCAATTCTGAATTTATTACTGATATTTGTTTCGATAGAGCCATGCTGCTACAATATCAACGCATCTTTCTCTCCATTTTCCTGGTTATTCTGCGAGGAATAAACCCATTACTACTGTCTTATACATGAGTGACTACTACATCGACAAGACGACCAGCGACAAACATCTGGAAGTGTACGCAACTTCGCCAGGGCCTGACTTGCTTTACTGTTCCGGACATGTCAATAAGCGTTCGCCTTAAACATGTTTTAATTTATGTGGAACATTTTACATGGCTGGGTGCTTGTTTTACCGGGTGCTGAAAGTGCCTCGTGACAGGACGTTGGGAATGCATGACTGTAACATGGTGCCGAAGACCGAAATGTTTGTACATCCACTTGCCTGGCTCCCCATCCAGCAGCACCCACACTTTATTTCAAATTCGGAAGACCAAAGACAAAACATAATTTCGGGTAGTCCGAACGAACAAGTGTATGATGGTGCTAAACAATATCCCTTGCAAACTCGTGTCATCTAGACAGTACATAAGCAGTGTATTTCACGACCCCTTTACACATTCCGATGTACTGAACGTGTTTGTTTGTTTGTTTAAAGCATATCCTCCTTCAAGTTAGACACGATGCATATCAATCAATGACTCTCCCCCGTGTGCCGCCTCAGATCGCGTCGGGCACCCGATGCTAGGGGGAGGCGACACTGGGTACAGCGGCGGCTAACCTGGGAGTACCAGATTGGTGCTCGCTGGATGAGTCGGTATGAAATACCCACATTTTTCACGTATTGAAAAGTAGGAAGGTGTGGAAAGTCCCAAAATAATGCTGATTTTAAGATCAAAATCGTCGTCTTTCTTTAAAATAACAATCTTGAAATATTAAGCAATCTAGTGCCTATGCACTGCTCATAAGTTTTTAGCATACTGGGTGTGAAATGTAGCCGTCCTTATGGTTCATCCCCCGTTAAATTTTGGATCCGTGATCGACACTTTCCTCGATGCGATCGTTTGAAAATTACCCTTTTTAGGCATGAACCGAAAAACGTATATAAACCCAACACCGAAGATTTCGGTAGTTAAAAGCTCTCCATTCCTTTCTTCAACATCGTGTTCCGAGCAAGAGAAAACTCTGGAAGAAAAAAACGCGAGAACCGCAGACCAGAGCCAATCGTCAACGCATTTCGGCCCCGGCTTCACTATACTTTGGCGGTTGCAAGGATCTCACCCATGTAAGCGCAGGAGATCACGAAGACCTCTCGGATGCGATAGCCGAGCTTTGTGGATAATACAATAGACACTTAACCTCCCTGTTGGTTAAGCCCATTAGCTTATTTCCTTGTCACAGACCACTTCAATGAAACCAGGCAACGTCCTGCGAGCATGGTGGATACCTGACTTTTTCTGGGTGTGATGGTACGTTGATAAACGCTGCTCTCTGTAGCGGTATCTGCCGGTTGTTGAAGCTGGTCAATGACATACCTGTTTATTGGCTCACTTGCCACCCACATGCAAACGTAATTATATGCGGCAGCTGTTCAGCAAGATCGACGGCGTGACGTGACAACTGGGACGGTTATTCACGGAAACGCTCCGCAAAGAGACCGCGGCAGGTGTTTACGTCAGTGAGTCAGAGAACATTCAACATTTTCTGCAGCTCCTGAGTCTCTCCCAGACCACATGAAAAAGATTAAAGTCTTCCATGGAGAGGGATAAGTACTAGTTTCATCCCTCGACTGTGTTTTTGGCGGTGATGAGTGAAAAAGATGCAGAGATCGGAGCCCATGCCATAAAACGTGTCCAGAAATGCCACCTTGAGCTGCAGGAAGATGTCTGCCCGCTCACTCTGCCAGTTGTGAACCTCGCTATCACAGGTTATGGCCAGTTATTCGACCAGGACGCAGAGCTGGTGATGGGGTTGCCACTGATAGAGCATCTGGACGTCCACCTTAAGATGGAAAAAAACTTCCTGCAAACACTCAGGCTGCGGAGAGGCCGGTCTCAGTGGTGGCAGAAGCGTCAGATCTCGCGATCGACGAAGAGGAGTGGCATGAATTTGCATGACCATACCTGAAGCATATACAGCTCATCACAACACAACCAAGACAGCAGAACTTTGCGTTTTCAGCAGACCAGAAGCGTGAGTAAAAGCAGATGCATACAGCAGCATCCACATTTAGCAAGCAACTTCCTCTTTTCCCGAAATCTTTGTTTTTATTCACAGATTTTGATTAACCTGCACCTTACAATAGGGGCATGGGAGTGGGTCGCTTCACTGCTTTACAAGACTTGTGATCGCCAGTGATGAATGGGAGCATGTTTCTGTTTGTGTGGAGAAAGAAATGCACCCACTAGATTCCAAGCTTGAAGCCATTTGATTTGGTTGCATGTTTCATCCATTTTTTCAAGACAGGTGCCCTAACCATTGATATGTCTGTTGAAATGGATTACAAAACACATGTTACATGCCACACTTCAGTGAAAAAAGGAGAAGCATTGGTTTGTCCCACCAGATCTTAGTACTACGGAGTTTGATAAAGCATATCTATTGGCCAGCACGGGCCAGGTTTTTAATACTTCAAAGACATACTATTCAGTACCAAATAATAGCCTGTTCACCATGTTCCACAACTGACAATACACCCTATATACATTAGGTGCACAGGGCATGCTGTCGCTCATGCAGTACTAGCGACATCTCACTAGTACAACTGGTGCCTCTTTCTCACTGGCTGTTATGTGGGCAATAATATGACCCCTCGAGAGTTGCTCCAATATCTCCCTGACATGCCAAGCAATCATTTTCAAATTATGGCTGTTGGGCTAGAGCTTACCTTCAAATTGTTCAACTGAGTTCTGAGTAACATGTTTTGTGGGAATGCTGCATAGCAAATCTTTAGCTAGCACAGGCAGCTGGTTGCCTGCCACATTTGAATCAAATATTGTAGAATGGATTGTATATTTGATATGAAATTTTCTATATACATGGAAAACACATGACAATTTGGTAACATAGCATTCCCACCTGTGTGTGCAAAACATGCCCATTGAACTGCACATAATGCATCCCTGGAATCCCAACACAGTACATGAGTGGCACTGATAAAACAAACAACCTGCCAATCACTAGCTGGCACACTGTGACATTCACATACCCCTGATATCAACATTTCCTCAGAACAAAAAGCATGTGATAATATACCAAAAATTGACAGGAACACATCAGATGGGTTCATACAGACAAATTACATGGTTTTCTCAACACTGCCATGTAAAGCTGAAATAATCAATTTATATTAAAAACTGATATTTTACCTGGCTGGGCTGGTGGGGCTAGATACCAGCCTGGAAAAAACAGAACTTAAAACCAGCTGCAAAGTTTTACTGAGACCAATCTGATATTTTATAAAAGGCTCTATGCCTCTCAGCTTTTTGCATCCGCAGGATTATTGCTTTGCCCCCCCCCCCCCTCCAACACACACACATCATAGATCAACTCTTTGAAAAATAACAAATCTGGGCATGGCCATTCTCTTCTGAAGAACTCACAAAGAAAACATGATGATCTTTCAAAAGGCAAGTGCACAAGAAATCACAATAACAAAATGCAAAAAATGAGAATCCACGCTTATGTTGACATGAGCGAACTGCAACTGATTGTGTAAAATCAGCATTCTGTCTTAAGATGTTACAATATTTGTTATAAGACATAAAGGGTTGGGCTCAAATGGCTAAAACATGATGTAGCATTACAATAAAAACAAGAGTGCAGCAAAGCGACTAAATCTAGTTGAAAATACAATTTGGAATGTCATTCAGCATCTGCCAACAAACCCAATTTTGCACAAATCTCCCATGTACTCTTAAGAGGTAACATTTCTTTAATGTAACATCTGCCTCACATTGAGACTTGGTAACTTAGCCTTTCAAATGTTCTACAATACTATGTACAACTTTTTTAAAGCTATATTAGACATGCATTAGCAGCCTTACACTGGTTTCCTCCAACTCAATGGCAACTTGTTCCATGAGCCCGTGATGAAAATGTAAAAGCAAGCACAATTGAATAACTCACACCACCAATTTACTGCACCAAACCATGGACCTGCAAATAGCAAAACCCGACTGGATTGTAATGACTGCATCTACCAGGTCACATCACAACCTGACCTCTTTTAACTCAACCCATTTTCTTCCGCAGAGCCTATGCAGAAAAGCAGGCACGCAATAGGTAAGCCCCAAGTTCCTACCATACAGGAAAACCTAATCTTTCCCTCAGGCCGAGCTAACTTTGAACAGTGAAAGTTGTAATAAAGCCTGCTGAAGAAATGCTCACCGATTCAACGACGCGGGGCCCACACTTACCACCAATCCGTGATGTTTACCACAACACGCCGCTGGGGGCTCGCGCCCCGATCCTCGCCCTCACGATCGCGGACAGGCCGCCATCTTATGACGTAAAAGAATAATAGCACATCGAAAGTGATAAGTTTTCCAAAAGAATGGTCCAGGAAATGCGACGATTTTTCGGCCGTTGATTAAATCAATACTTCCAATGGATACTAAAAAGCGTTTTCTATGCAAAAAAATGCAATCATAAGCGTTAGTTCGTGTTACACCACCTGAAATGCTGACGTCACTATCATGGCGTCGTTTTGATGCATACGTCGGTGAGATTATTCGGGTTTGTGCCGCGGCGGTTGTGCGTAGGTTTTGGAAGGGGGACGGGCATGCCCCGGCGTTAGGTCGCAGTTGAATTGTATTTACATATAAGTTTTACACATTGGGGAATTGACAACGAAGGGTAAGTAAATAACCACGTTCTTTTCCGTGAAATTGTAGTTACTTCATTTCGTCGCGTTTTCGGTCGGCTTTATCAGGCGGGCTCCGAAGTGTCGTCAATGTGTGGAATGACAGTATAGGGACGACGGTAATGGGCGGGGAAGGGGGGGGGCAGGGTCAGAAGATGTCTCTGGAACACAGTATGGCCCTTGGCAGCATAACGATTTTGTTTTGGCACATGCTTGCCGTCTTTAATTGACTGGCTGCAAGAAAATGGCATGCTAGCCAAATCCACATGATTTTGGGAGCAGGTCCTATCCTGTCTCAGATGGGGCAGCCAACCTCTCTTCTTAGGGAAGATGCTGATGATGTGATGGCTTGGGCAGCCTCAAAGATTTTCCTCATGATCTTATGAAGATGGACAAGTGTTGCTGAATTAACCATTCAGGGTTTTGTATGCCACCTGTATGCTACTACCGTTACAGCATTTAAGAATGCAACTTCCATTAAAAGTGCAAACAATATGATATCACAGTATTACAGCTGCCATTCTGGCATTGGCCTATTTGGCAATTGGCATGAGTTGCTTGTGGCTGGTTTACCTGCTCAGTACAAGCAACGGGAGCTGGCGTAAGTGAAATGCGTCAGAAGGCCTTTTGGTTATATCACTCCTTTGCTTTTTACAAACCTCTGTGTTGTCCAGTTTTGCTTAAATACTGCCCCAGATCAGTGCCTTCCTCAAGATACCATTACCTGTGCTAAGATAATGTGAGCTTCTTTAATCAAGAAATTCCCTCCCAAAAGTTATACAACCTGCCCTAAATATTAATCCTTGCCTCAATACCACCACAGCAAAGTTTTGTCAAAATTTTCCTTGTTTTTGCAGACTGGTGAGTAAGTATCCACCTTATTGTATCCCCCCCCCCCCCCCATCATCCCCTCCCACACCCCAGAGCACATGGCAAGCAGAGCTGTCAAGGTAACATCACATTTTATCTGAATGAATGCCCTGAAATATTTATTATCACAAAGTCATAGTAGCATCATCATCATCGCCATCAGCATCCCCATCACCATCTTTTTAATACCACATATAATAAACATGCATTGGACAGCTTGTGATAAAAGGAAATCCAACTATGAACAATAAAACACACTTTGGACATATTCAGTATGCATGGATGCTTCATAAAACTGCACATTAAGGTTGTACTGGTACATTCTAGGTTCAGGTCAGTCTTCATCAACTAAGCAACTTAGACACACCATATGGGGGCTGCACTGGAGAATGAAGGCAGCTTTTCACTCTCCTGTAGGATATGTTTTATATCACTGTTGTATTGTTGCTGACTGGATAAGTGAATAGGTAGGTGCCATAAGCAGAGCTTACCAGGTATGCTGTGACAAACTAGAGACAAATATATTATATCGTATTATTGCAGACCATGAAGCTGGCAATAAAGCAGCCCAGTGAGAGCATGCCAAATATCCTCACTGAAGAGGAAGATGAGGAGAGCATGGCTGCATCTGAATTGCAAGACATGCCACAGGATGACATGGAGCATACAATGGAAGAGGAAGATGAAGGTAAACATGGGTCTGTCTTTCATTGTAGATGATGTCAAACTGTTTACTCATGATTAGTTTGCTTAGGGTGATTTTAACCCAGAGCCACTGCTGGCATGGCTTGTTGAGTGTCCGGACTCTGAACTCAAGGAAGAAAATGGAATGATCTTATGCATGTAGTGTGCCCTGTGAGATTTCTATCAGTCTCAATTGCCAAAGGCTTGTATACCATGATTCTTCATTGAATATGGTGTGATGCTGACACCATGGCTGTTTCATTTCATGGCAATAGAGAATGTTGGCTTCAGCTTGTTCTTAAATTCCCAGAACAAAGATTCAATATTTGTCATGCAGGTTTATAACATCATTGCCAGTACCTGCTGGCTCTCTTATTGGCAAGTGTCAGTTAACTTTAGATGACAAAAATGCTGAGCATTATTTCTAGAAGGCAAAACCACATAGTCTACCACATGTGTGGTATAGTATATAGCAATCAGTTGGCTGTTCTGTGGGAAAACAATGGATGGGATTTGATGGCTCAGTTCCAACAATGTCCACCCAACTGGGACTGATGTATAGTTGTAGATGGAAATAAATGTTAACATTAAAGGATATGTGCAATTCAACATTCATTCTGTAGTTGACATGGCACAGCTGGGTGCCATTGATCCCTTGGGAGCAGACACAGTGCAGCGAGTGTTGTCATTAGGAGGCCATGTCCAGCCATGGTCAGTGCTTGTCTCTGTCGACAGACGTGCCAATGACCATTCCGGCGGACGTGTCGTGCGTGGTGCCCGGCTGTGGCCGCCGCCACGGCCGCATGTGCACCTTTCCCGTGGAGGGTGAGATGCGCGCCGCCTGGACCAGCGTGCTGGAGGCTGTATACCCGACGCTCGACATTAACGCACCAGAGCCCAAGCTCAAGCTACTCTGCGAGGTACGACACAGCTCCGTTGGAGGCGTTCCGGACTGCAGTAACGGGATGCGGCCCTGGTGTTTTCTGCTGTGGCATGTTAGGTATCAGTGTGTGAACAACAGATTATCATTGTATTTTATGCAATTTATTATATTTTGTCATGTGCCTACACAACTGCTTCAGAGCTTGTGAAACACCTCTGTGTGGTACGCGTCAAGTTGTGCGTGTGCGTGTGCGCGTGCGCGTGCGCATGCGCGTGCGTGCGTGCGTGCGTGCGTGCGTGCGTGCGTGCGTGCGTGCGTGCGTGTGTGTGTGTGTGTATGTGTGCGTGCGTGCGTGCGTGCGTGTGTGTGTGTTGTGTCGTGCATCGGTGTGCTTTGTATTCTCAGGATACCACCTGCCGCCCTAATGACCCTGTACTCTCCGCCATCGCAGGACCACTTCGAGTTGACAGACTTTGATGAGCGCGGCCTGATCCAGCCGTCAGCGGTGCCCACGCGCTTCCCAGGCGGCGTCAAGGTGATCTACAACAGTAGCGGCGAGGCCGGCGACGAGGAGGCAGTCGCCGAGGCGGCTGAGCCGGCTGAGCCGGCGCCCATTGCCTGCTGCGTGCCCGGCTGCACGACCGTCGACCTGGCGGACAGGTCAGCCACCGCCGGACCGCTGGCGCTGCCGGGCGGGACCCGGGACCGGTCGGGTCGGGTCGGGTCGTGCTGGACAGGTGTGCCTTGGAGCGAGGGCCGTTACGTGTCTCAAACGGACCTTGGTGCGTGTTTTTATGATGTAGCCTAGGCCAAGCATGCGGCATCACAACGGGAAAAACGGATGGGCGTTTCCGAACGGAATAAGCGCTCGGTGGCGGTGAATGAGTTGTTAATCTGTTTCGAGATTCGCGGCGTGTATTGCCCAGTCCTGCTTGAGATGCGGGTTTGTTTTTTGTCGCTGGGAAGCAGGCGAAATCATTTCCCCATGGGAAGCAATTTAGCCGGGCTGCTGTGGTCGGTGTTGGCGGCGGCGGACGACGTCGGAGGGGGGGGGGGGGAGGGTTGCGGTGTGTGCTGCTGTGGTCGGTGTTGGCGGCAGCGGCTGACGTCGGGGTGGATGCGGTGTCTGTGCTGCTGTGGTCGGTGTTGGTGGCAGCGGCTGACGTCGGGGGGTCTGCGGTGTCTGTGCTGCTGTGGTCGGTGTTGGCGGCAGCGGCTGACGTCGGGGGGTCTGCGGTGTCTGTGCTGCTGTGGTCGGTGTTGGCGGCAGCGGCTGACATCCGGGTCCTCGGTGTCTCAGCATGTACCTATTCCCGGAGGATCTCCATCGCGCCTGGTCTTCGATCATCTCGGCAGCTACAAGCAAACATGCGTGGAAAAGGGGTGACCTGGACCCGAAGACCCAACGGCCCTTGGAAATGAGAGTTTGCAAGGTGCGTCCTTCACTTTGTTTGTTTGTGCAAACTCAGTTTTTCAGCTTGTGCAAACTTGCTGCAAACTCGGTCGTGAACACTGCCAACAATGGTTTATGTACAGTGGAAGTGGCAGAATTTTCCGGAACCGTGTCATGTGCGCATGCGTGCGACTTCTGTTTTAAAACCTTTAAGTATGGCGTGGGTTTTCCTGTGGCCGTTTGTGCTGAACTCAGTATGTTCATTTCATACGGCCATGTTAGGCGACAGTACAAACAGTGCGGTTTGCACTGTCGGCTGATATGACGAGCGCGCCGGCTGTTGTGTGGAGGGCTTGCACGGACGTCTGGCCGGCCCAGCCTGCAGCCGTGTCAGATGCGGCCATTGGTGACGTCATCCGACGTGTGTGTCCTGGTCCCCTGGCCTGGTGTCTGACTGGACGTGCGCCCCCGCATAACTCGTGTTCGGTGGCGACCTGTCGCTGGCCGACCTTGACCTGGGTTCGGCCTCGCGCCTCGGCGTCGCCTCGCGAGCCGCTGCTGACGTTACCGCCCCCCGGTGGTGGGCAGGAACACTTTGTGCCCGAGAACTTCAACGCGGACAAGACTCTGAAGGCTGGCTCCCACCCCAGCCTGTTTGACAATGGCAAGAAGAAGGTGATTCTCCGACCTTCGACCGCCGCCGCCGCCGCTCAGAGTAAGGGCGCTCCCTCTCCTCCTTTCGCCACGACAGGGTCGCTGACCTGATCCGCGACCCGTCGTACGTATATTGATTGTCATAACACTTGCGAGGTTAAACGACTTTTTGTGGTACGAGCGGTAGCCGGTTTGAGATACAGTGTGTATTGAGTTGCTTTCACAATTAAGCCGTATGCACCAATGCGCTCATAAATGAGCCTGCCATGCCATGTCGTCCTTTGAAACGTGATATACGTTTAAAACCTTTAAGTATGGCGTGGGTTTTCCTGTGGCCGTTTGTGCTGAACTCAGTATGTTCATTTCATACGGCCATGTTAGGCGACAGTACAAACAGTGCGGTTTGCACTGTCGGCTGAGATGACGAGATGACTGCGCTGACGAGACGCTGAGATGACCATATACTGTTTCGCAGCGCCTAAGCCAAAGCCGGCCCCCGCAGCTCGGAAGACGTACACACCCAAGCACATCAGCCATAAAACGGACCCAGGTATGCTTTCCAAAGGTACAACACCCAGAGGCTATTTGTACCAAGTCTGGGAGCATGACCCTGGTGGAATGCACCGAGGCTGGTTTGTATAGATATGAGGATGCCTCTCGCAATGGGTCTGGATAAAAGATCATACAGTCATTGGCCATAGCCATGTCTGCAACGTTTCGAAATGGACGCTTTTCACGTTCCCACTTTGCTAGCATGGCAAACTGGAGATGCTAAAACCACGAAGTGCTGAAGGACACGGGTTGGAAACCGTCTAGGCCTGGGCCGCCAGGTGTCACGGCAACGTAAGATAAGCTTATGACCGCGCAGGAGAAAGCAGGTAATCGTACTGCCAGAGCGCGGCTCGATGTGTACATTCCCATTATCTAAGGACTTGTGTCAGACCTCGGCGGCGAGAGCAGCGGAATACTTGAAACCCACTGCACGGGGTGGCTAAAGTCACCAATCACTAAACTGTCAACGTCATCCGACCTTTGGTTATGCCAGTAATTGTCCGGAAAACGTGCAACGCCATCGTTGTCAAGGCAGACCTCCGAAGTGATTACACCTCCAGCTTCCGACTTCCGAAGGGGTTACATCTCCGACCTATAACATCCGAAGGGGTTACACGTCTTACCTCCGACCTCCGAATGAAGGGGTTACACCTCCGGTCTCCGACATCCTAAGTGGTTACGTCACCTCTGACCTCCGACCTACTAGGTGGTTGCACCTCTGGCCTCCGACCTCCACCCTGCGAAGTGGTTACAACCGCCAGCCCTTTAAATCCATGCAGCCATCGATTAAGAACATCGGATCACGCCAGTTTCATTGCCCGCTAATTTTCCCAGTCATGGTTGGGGATTTATTTGTGGAAGCACATCATCAGCGCGCCGCTACCTCTTGAAATCATGTTATAAGGATATTCTGATACATTTATGTCCCATTCATATATGTTCCCAAAGGCGGCGGGTCCAGTCGTTTGTATATGGATATTAATCTACTTATAGTAGCTAGCATGTATATAATCACCTACCTAGTGCCGCGTCGTAACTGGTGTCCAACTGGTGGTCCCCATGCTAACGGAACAAGTATTTGCCATCTGATGCTGAGAACCAGGGCGCCACCATGTTCTTTTGTTCGCATTTTGGTTGTTTTTTTCTGGTAGTTTGATGACGGTTTTATGCTCCAACTTTGCATTGAGGTGAAACGAACTGTTTATATGCGGTGAGACGCCCTGTGCCAGTGCTCTGCGTCGTGCCTGTGCCAGTGCTCTGTGCGGTGCCTGTGCCAGTGCCTTGCGCGGTCCTGGGCCAGTGCCTTGCGCGGTCCTGGGCCAGTGCCTTGCGCGGTCCTGGGCCAGTGTCCTGCGCGACGCCTGCGCCAGGGCACTGCGCGGTTTGTGGCGGGCGGGGGCGGAGCTGAACCGGCGCCCCACTGTCCGCAGGGAAGAAGATGGGTCCCGTATTTGTAAACGTGACGGACGAGGGCCTGCAGCTGGTGCACAAGAATGGTGCGACGGTATCGCTGCAAGACCTGACGCTGGCAGGTCAGGCGCGGGTCGGGCATTGGGTCCGGCCACTCAGCGGACTGCTGTCTGCAGCGCTAAGACTGTTACAGAGGCGCCACACGAATGTGTGGTGTCTGCGGCTGTGGTGTGTCCTTTCCGCGGAGGACTGGCCTCGATGGAGGCCGCAGACGGATGTGTGGCGTCTGCGGCTGTAATACGTACTGCCACAAGTTCGGCGTTTGTGTTGAGTCTGGTTCTGTGCTGCGTGCTGCCGTTGGAGCGCGGGTCACGACCTCGCTTCAGCCGCGTGATGAAGTACCGCGCTGAACGGGATGCTCGTCAGTCGTTCGGAACGGCAGTCGGCCTGTGTCAGCTTTGTTGGCTCCACGCGGAGCTGCCCGGACGTGGAGCGCGGCTCTCCAGTGGCGCGGCGGGCGGCGTGTGCCGAGCTACGAGCCGCGCCTGCGCCGTGACGCCCCACCTGACCTGACCTGACCTGACCTGACCTCCGCCGACCGGCCGCCGCAGAGCTGCGCCGCATCAGTGACTGTCTCAAGGACAAACTGAAGACGGACGTATCTGACGACGAGAGGAAGAATCTTAAGCTCTGCGAAACACAGGTCAGTCACTGCTCGCAAGTGACGGGTGTTGATCACTGCGACCATCAGCGGCGTCTGCGCTGTGGATGTAAGGTCGTCGGATATGGATGTTGCTGTGTAGGACCTTCATTTTAACGCTAACCAACGGAGTGCACTAATTGTCTACTTGTAGTGTCTCTTGTACCAGAGTTCGGCCCTGGTAAGTTATAATTTCAACGACACTAACCGGACTTATGATTTGTTTCTAGGTCAATCCAGTGCTGGAGGAGAAGGAGGCTGGCGAAGCACAGAACCCTGATAGTTCTCCTGTGATGGTGAGTACCGCTGTACTCTAGTTCTGTGTACACATCTTGCGGTTTCTCCTCCCACGCTCATGAAAATCGTAGCGGCAAGTTTGGGCGAAGCTGGCTCAGCGAATTCGTTTGATATCGTACTTGTGGACGCGGCCTGAAATCTCCCATCTCAGTGTACGAACCTTGCGTCGCGTTGTTATCTTCCGCGTGCCATTTTTCATTGTTCCGTCTATTTTGTGAAGGGAGATTATCATGTTTTGTGCTGAATTTTAGGTTGCACCCGTACGCAACTAAGTAAGGCTTGGATGAATCGGACCGTAGAGCCTTCTCTTAAATCTTTCCTGAGAAGCCCATGTAAGCCATTCGAAATGGCTATCTTCACTGCATTTTCAATGGGACTCCTTGATCACCACCATAAAACGTGCTCTTAAACCATATGTACTTTGATTTTGTCCACTGCAGACTTAAAATGGGTTCCTTATACTGTGCACGAGCAGCTGCTTTCTCTCAATGGCAAAGTGTTGAAAACGCTTCTATACAGAGAGTGCTAGCCGCTGGCCGATTGGTCGAGCTCAGGCATGGGCTTATGACAGTGGCGTAACAGGCGGATTTTAACACAGAAAGCGTGAATCTGAAATTACTGTAGCACAAAAAAAATGGCGCTTATGGCTGACCCATCTTCAACAGATGGCTGTTACGGTATTTTGATAGTGACAGATGCTATATGCTCACAGCGAAGCGGCACACGTGGGGACGTATCTACGTGCTCCAGTGTATATGGACCTGACCGATCTGCCCCCCTTCGCCCGGGCTCTGACTGAACCTGTCGCCGGGCGCGTCTGACCTGACCTGACCTGACCTGACCTCAGGCGGATGTACTGGCACTGAACCCGGACATGGATGACGAGGACGTCAAGCGTCTGGTGGAGGGCATCAAGCAGGTGGATAAGCAGGTGAGGGTGCTCATTATCCCGACCCCGGTTCCAGCCGCAGCCGCAGTTGCAGCTGCGGCCTGGTCGGAGATCGGTGCTGGTCGCGGTCTGGTGCGGTGGATTGAGAGGGGCGTGGGGAAGGGGTCATGGGATGGGATGGATGGGATGGGATAGAATGGGATGGAATTGAATGGAATGGGATAGGATAGGATAGGATAGGATAGGATAGGATAGGATAGGATAGGATAGGATAGGATAGGATAGGATAGGATAGGATAGGATAGGATAGGATAGGATAGGATAGGATAGGATAGGGCAGGGTAGGATAGGATAGGATAGGATAGGATAGGATAGGATAGGATAGGATAGGATAGGATAGGATAGGGTAGGATAGGATAGGATAGGATAGGATAGGATAGGATAGGATAGGATAGGATAGGATAGGATAGGGTGGGCGGGGGAGGGAGGCTTTGGTGTAAGCGTGGCTCTACTATATGTGTTTCAGTCTGTCAGTCTCGACACATTTAAGTGTTCCTTTATTGCGACGCCTGCTATGTGGACAGTTGTCGGTCGTATTCGATGTTATCTGTCAGCACCCGTGTGATGAACATAGCCATGACGTCCAAATGTGTGTGGTTTTGATGAAACAGCTAGCGGTGTCACTGGACACGCCGGCGGCCGTTTGTCTCGCTGCTCCGCCGGTCGCGTCTCCGACGGCCTTGTCGACTTTGCTTCAGCGACGCGAGTACGAGCGCTCGCTTTCCCGCTACTTCGAGGACTCTGACAACTTCGCCAGGGAGTCGGAGGCCCTCACGCTGAAACTCAACACGCTCAAGAGGAAGATCTCCGCCATGGAAACCACGTCAGTAACTAGTCCAACGCATTCCAAATGATTTCGCGGGTGGTTCATTCGCGAACGAGGGGAACAGTCTGTAGGCGTTTACGCTCCGATGTTTGTCCGATCAGAAGGTGGGTGGTGAATTTTTTAGGGCGAACAGACCGGCCGCGCTTGTCTTGCTCCGATCGCCCTCGCTGAAAGAAGATCAGTGGGTTGAATGCGAAAGCTGTGGCATAATCCCTTGAATAGCGCGCCAGATCGGTTTTTGCGGGTGGTCCCGCTCGTGCGATAATTGCTCCACTGTGGCCGCTGTGGCCGGGACAGAGCGCAGGACAAAGTATGAATATTTTAACCTGGATTTCATGGCAGTGGAAAGCTGTGGCTAGTAACACCTGTACCTTGCGGTATCACATGCCTGTTATCGTTGTTGGAAACTATTGTGAGACTTTTGTAGTGCCAATTCCTTTTGCTTCCATTGGCATGCAGTTGTATGGTGAGAGGGGTGTAGTGTAATGGCCGAGTGGTCAGGGCCTTCGGATCCCAAGTGAATACGAACCCTGGTTATGCCGTGCCTTCTGAGCTTCAAGTTGTCCTATGCAGTCGCTGGTGTTTCATAAAAAAATGATACAAGGCCTCTTGCAGTGCTTTTTATAGGTTTGGTAGAGGTGATAAGATAAGGGTTAATGTGTTCGTCGATATTTTTCCCCAGTCCTTGGTATGCCAGAATATGTAAATTGTACAAACTGCCGGGCCTCAGGCTGGGCTTGATAGCAGCCACAGCAGATGGGCCGAACGCTTGTTTTTATTTTTGCTTGGCTTGCCTCATTTTTTAGTAAAAAAAAGCAGATGGCATACTGTGACTCTTATCGTACTACAACCTCCAGCATGTCGGTGGCCCCACAGACGTTTGAAAATGCGTTTTCGGCCGTCCACCCTAGTTGGCCCATTCCCCAGTTTTACTGGTTTGTATTACTGTAACCTTTAATAGAAGTTTTGTTCTCGTCACCGAAAGCATCAATCTCATTGCCATGCAGTTGGTAGCAAAACGTACACAACCAGTTGCATGTTGTGCTGTCTTTTCAAGGTATGCCTTCGTACGTTATTCGGTCAGGCTGTGTTTTCCTGTAGCAGGTAACTTGCAACACTTTCTAGCATCATGACAGAAATTTTGCCCCTCCTATTAGTTTTTTTATTTGTATGTAACGAAAAACTTGCGGGATGAGAAGTGTCTGAAGAACGCGTGTCAAAACGGGGTCTGGTAGTGACGGGCCTGAGTCTAAGTGACACGAGACGAACACCGCTTGATAAAGGACGATCACACTAGCGAGAGCTGCGCCCGGTCGGTCACTCGCGATCCAGCACGCAGCTTGCGGCTGCTGGGGTTCAAGCATTTGTTGAAGGATTGCGTTTGGGTCACGGCAACCACAACTGATGAAATGCTTGAAAGAAGCAGACTAACTACATGATGTAGTTTAAGGACCGGCTACAAAGGAATTCGTCAGCCTAGCACTGCTGAACCTATAGCAACATCAGTAGAAGGCTAGGGAGCGGTCAACGTCGCTTTGGAGGCCCTTGCCTTAGAACCACAGGGTAGGGACGAGAGAGAGAGAAAGAGAGAGAGAGAGAGAGAGAGAGAGAGAGAGAGAGAGAGAGAGAGAGAGAGAGAGACAGAGACAGAGACAGAGACAGAGACAGAGACAGAGACAGAGACAGAGACAGAGACAGAGACAGAGACAGAGACAGAGACAGAGACAGAGACAGAGAGAACGCGCGTGCAGCCAACTCACTCTTACCATTTTCCACCCCAACATGGGCACATTTCATGATACTTTGCCCGGTGGCTGACACCGTAAGGCCTCGCAAGTTCGTTAATTCTGTGGATTACAATAGCTGGGTTGTGCGGGGTCCAACCAGCCAAGTCGTAAGCATTTTTTCTTGCGGATCCTATGTAGCAGGTAACTTCCCGTTGCTCCCTCAACGTGTAGGCTCATGAAAGGCAGGGATCCCAAGGCATTAATTAATTGATGATGATTGGGTGGTTTTGGTTGCACAGGATTTTATGTTTGCACTGGTATTTTGGTATACTGCATTGCTTGGTATTTTGACGTTTCTGTGTCTGTGTCTGTGTCTTCATGTCAATGTCTGTTATCACCACATTGATAACCGGTATTCGTTAACTGCAGGTTACATCATTATATGTATGTATGGTGGAATTCAGTAGATGAAAGTTGCCGAAATGAATCTCTGTACACATGTTTTCAGAGTGACTTGTTCAGTCGAGTGCCTTTTGGGCACACGATGTGGATAGCGCATCCCTGCCGTTGCGTTCCGTGCTGGCGTGCAGCTCTGTTGTGTTTGTGGGGCAGGTTTCTGCGGTTCTTCAAGTACCAGGATCAGCGCCGGGCCCTGATGGGCGACTCGCAGGTGAAGTGGGCCGTGCCCACGCTCACCATAGCACGCGACATCATACAGAAGGTACGCCCACCACCCTCCGTCCCAGCCCCACGCTACGGCCGAGGCGTCCTTGTCACTCGTGTGGTGTAAAACACGCTGTGGGTGAGCGCATCGAAGCCGTGGCGCGTCGGTGATCGGCGCTGGTTGTTAGCGGGCGGCAGGGCGTCGTCTCACCGGTGAACGCGATCTGTTGGAGCTGGGCGTCAGCTGCACAGCACGTCTGCGTGCTGCTGCCGGTGCTGACCCTCCTGTGGACGCGATCCATTGGAGCCGGGCGACAGCTGCACAGCACGTCTGTGTGCTGCTGCCGGCGCTGACTCTCCGCGCGTTCGTGTGTCGTCTGCGGTCGTGTTTGGTCTGTGTCAGTCTGCCGCGCGTGCGAGCTGGTACGGCTACGGCTGCATGGTGACCGGGCCTCAGACGGAATCTAGCGCGCCCGGCTTCTGAGTGGTGGTGGCGCTTGTCGACCATGACACGATCATGCCGCCTTCGCCAGGTGGGCAAGACGGCGTACGGCCGCCTGCTGCGCATGGGCTTCCCGTTGCCGTCGGCTGACGCGGTGGCATCCTCGGTCGAGCGGGCCAGCGCCGAGAACGTCCAGTGGGGTCTGGTGGACGTGACGGAGGAACGTTCGGCCGAGACTGGCTCCGACGAGCGGCTCGAGGTGAGGGGGGGGGGGAGGGGACGGGGGAAGGCGGATGAGAGGGAACCTGACCGTCGTATTGATCGTTACCTGTCCATCGTTCGCTATTCTTCACTCTTCCGAGGTTGTCCCTTATGATTATTTCTGTATTGTTCGTCGTGAGAATCCTTTGCTCTTCTCGTTCACTTGTTCGATTTCCTGCCGGGGAGAACTGGGCCGAAAAGAAAGTTAATTCTTGTTCATGCGATGCGCGGTTACGTGCACGCAACCCTGTAATGAGTGCGAAAGGTAGTGTTGAGCTCGCCTGTGACCGGTTATTGTGTTGCAGAACGGCTCCACGGAGGAGGACGCACCAGCTGCCAAGAAGGCTCGCACGGAAGACTCCGCTGGTGGGTTTCCATGTGTCTTACAGGGTGTCCATGCCGTAAGATGTTCATGCAGATATGTGCGCAGTTACTGATTTGATTTCATGACGCCAGTAGTCTGTCGCCGTGCTTCTGTCCTTGAGACGACCTCCGAAGGTTTGCCTCACTCGGCTCATGCCTACTGGAGCTTGGTTAGTAGATGCACGATGGCCTCTGCCGTGCCGGCCGTGGCGCGGCTACGCTTCGCCGGCGCTCTGACCTAGTTCGGCACCGCCCGCCCAGGCGCTGGCGGGGACTGCGGCGGCGCCGGCGCGCTCCAGGGCATCACGGCCGAGCACCTGCAGGACGTGCTCGCCGGCAAGGGCACACTGCAGGACTCCCAGGGTCGCATCATCAAGGTCTCCTTGGCTGAGGTGCCCGGCGCGCCGCCCGGCGCTAAGACCGTTGTCATGGAAACGCCCGACGACGCCGGAGAAGTGCGATACGTGCCATCTGTCGACGGTGCTGACGCCTAGCAGTGCACGTTGCTGGACGTAGAGGGCAGTGCAGGCCTTGTCAGTGTCACCCGCAGGTGAACAGCGGTCGGGAGAGGGGGTGGGAAGGGCTTGATTTGGCTCACAGGACAATGGATGCGTATCACGGGAACCTCAAGGGTTGCATCAAGAGGATCCTGACGTCACAGATGTTGATGCCGTGAACACTCCCATTTGGCCCGTGATCAAACGTAGCCTCGCAGCCGACGGATGGTTCACGAACCCTCGGGATGAAAAGCGCCGGCCGTATGTTGTCGGATGTCATTAACCATTATAGTTATCAGTCACCATCGTCGTTGTGAATACATTCATCATTTGAAGCTTCCTCTGGTTTGACATCATATTCAGTTTACGGGTCATAGAGACCAGTGATAACGAGGCTTTCAGTCTGGTCCCTCAGCGCGCCAGCAGAAATGTGAGCTGACGTTGATCATGACTAGGGTCTAGCTGGATATGTGATCTTTGAGCGGCTGGGCCAGGTTGGTGAGTGGTAGGGGCCAGGTCGGTGGATGGTCGAGTCCAGATCGGGGATAAGCCTTCGTATTACTGCATTCCGGGTAGGTGACGTTGTGACGTCAGCATCAATGGCACCAACGCCACGGGAGCGTAAAACCGCCGTTCTTTAGGGGCTGGTTTAAACATGAATATTTCCACAAGCCGGACTCTTTTGGACCTAGCACATTCAGCGAAACGTTTTTAGCTGGGGAGTGGTTGGTTTGCACCAGAGCCACAAAATTGTTGCCGCAATGCGCTTCCCACCCGCCTCCAACAGAGAGATGGGGTAACTCGTCCACGAGCGATCTGTTCCGAAGAACCCTAGCCGGAAGTGCTTAGAAACGGACGGTAAAAGAGCACGATATGCAATAACAACATAGGGCGGGGATAGAAAATCTAGCACCCTCGGACGCACCTCGGGAAGGTTGAATGCATATCCTGTAGCCTTAGGGTGTTTTCAGTGCCGATGCAGGGTCGGCCTGCCCTAGTGGGGGTGAACTCCGGGAGGTGTAAATGCAGCGCGTGCCATTTCATTTTACGATAGCAGGTCTTCCCGTAAAATGGGACGATTTCTGGCAAGTTTAGCTGCTTCTGCCAGTCGAGTGGTAGCCCATAGCTCAGCTCGAAAGTCTTGGGGATATATCAGGGTAGTTCGGGTATTATTCCTTGCGTACCTTTCCAACCAACCCATTCGTCATTATGGACTTGCAAGTTGAACAACGCCTCAAAAGATCATAGCGCAGCATCAGCGAAATTATTGGCACCTGCCCTCCACACGTTGCCTTACTTTCACATATTGTTTAGTCCGATGATGACGTCACTTCTACGTAGCCGGTACCTAGTAGCCTTGGTCGGGACCAGGTCGGTGGGCGGCCGAGGGATGGTCAGTCAGGTCGACAGGCCGTCACAGCAGACAGGAACCGTCGGTAAGCAATGGTGCCTAACAGCGCTGTCGTCTAACCTTGGTAGGTGTTTCTAGCCCGTTCGAAGGCAAACACGAGGAGAACGAGGTCTGCTCTTTGCTCCCAACCATCTATCACTAGCAAAGCAGCCGGTCGTCGGTTTGCTATCACTAGCAAAGCAAACCGACGACCGGTGGGTGCTTGTATTCCTCTACCAACTGGTTAAGGCCCTTCCGCAAACCCTTTGTTTTGTACATCGGTATTCATGTCTAAAATTTGCCGTTAGTGTGAAGGTTTCCTCACAATGCTGTCGCTCATACGTCACCATTTTAAGGCTTACATTCAGCCAGGAGCGTAGTTATTTGAATACTTGGGAAAAAAGAAAAGGGTAGGCATGTTGGTATAATTTTCTAAGCCGGTCATTAAACCAACAATGACCAAAAATTGAAAATAATAACTGCAGCATCAATGCCCTGATCCGAACCCGAACTCAAGTCACCACCACCTAGAGAAACACTAACATGGCCTGTGTTACAGTGTACTGCCACAGCACCACATCACGGTATGTCACGAGCACAGGCACCGTCGGCGATACAAGCGCCTGCACCCCCACAGCAGCGAGCTGCGCCGGTCGCAGTGTTGTGGGGCCTGTCCGCCCGGCTCGTTTCCGAAGGCGGCCACGGCCCGGCCGTTTGGCCGCCGTCCGCGTCTCCGGAGCGCCGTACACCGGCTGCAGGCGGCAGCGTCTCGCCGGCCTTCAGTGCGTCTCCCGGGCCGACTTCCCTCCTTGCCTGCTGGAGACGCTCGCGCACTTTACTGCACTTCCCGATGCCCAGCCGTGGCTGACCCTGTGAAGACACCATAGCCAGCATGACAGCCAGATACGATACCAAACTGTACAGGATGTACAGGATCGTGGGCAAAGGTGTTCGCCGAAAAATATACCGTATCACCAACAGCATGACGGTAACAACCAGCATATGAGGGTACCGGTAGCGTAGTGGTTAACGCGTCTGCGTTGAAGGCTGCGCGTCTGGGAAATCAGACGCGCAGTGGTTAACGTACGTACGCGCAGAGGTACGGGGTTCGATTCTCCGCGGTGCCCGCCCTTCCTGCCAGGGTGAGAGGCAGGCGACGCCATATAGCCTCAGCGGCTGACTGCGTCGAAAAGCCTCAACGACGACAAAAAAAAACAGTATACCATCACCAGTTTGGTATGTATGGTATGTATCACCAGCATGGAGCATCACATAGGCCATCAGAAGCAAGGTACCGCGCACTTTCAACACTCACGCGTTGATCGCAACCTAGCCGCACGTTGCCAGAACGCATGGAAATACGTGAAACTGGCGTTTCGAGAATAATTGCAGCCAACGCATTAAACCGCAACCCAACGAATTGCCCGCAACCGTCTACAACACTAAAATAAACAAGACACGCCTGTACCAGGCTTACCAGGTCGTGTCCGTGACAGGCCCGGTCGCGAGCCATCTGAGATCTGGTAGCCTTTAAGCATTTCACAAATCAGTTGCGTTTGGTTTGAATGCTTGGGCGCGAGAGCATTCTAGGGCTGAATACGACAGCGGCTGAGTGTTCACCACAGTTGAAAGGTCATCACCCCCCCCCCCCCCTACCCTCCTACATTGAAGACGGGCGGTGAACTGCGGCCATCACAGCGAGCTGCACGCCCTCTGGATGTCGGCCGGGTGCCGACAAGCCGCCGGTGACGCACGCCTCGACAGCTGGCGGCCGTCGTCGTCAGGCGCCTGAGCGGCGGCAGGCAGTGGTGGCCGAGACCGGCCCCAGTCGAGACCTCGGCCACGGGCGGCAGCTCATCAGCACAGACATGCGGGCAACTTGTCCTGACTTGTTTAAGGGCACATACGTGAGGCGGAACCAGTCTCCAGTCCTCCTGGGAGAGCGGCGTCGGCCTGGCAGCCATACGGGTCGGTTCGGGGCGGTAGTGTGCATTCCTCGTCCGCCGGCCGGGAGGAGCCGAGCGCAGCCAACTGACCTGGTTGAGGCCCTCCAGCAGCACACAGGCCTTGCAGACGGCCTGGGAGGAGATGTAGCCGCAGCGTGTGCACGTGCCCTGGGCGGGCAGCCGCGCGGCGTCCCGCACCGCCAGGCTCTCGCCCGAGTGAATGATGTCGATGATAGATGTCGCCCGGATCGCCTCCAGGTCTTTCAGGAAGGCTCGCGCGTGCCCCCTGGCGATAGAACAGAACAGGTGGGCGCGTGACATACGGGCACGGAGCCAACGCGATGTAGGCCGGTCCACGAATCCCCGTACTGACGCCCATACGGTGACATTCCGGCTCCAATAAGGACATACCGATTCGGGCACACGTTACGGCGGTAGTGCAGCATGTGCAGAACCAGCCGAGATAACTCGCTGACTTATCGTACATGTTGGACAACACCATGATGATGTGAACCACTGTTTGATGTGCACAAGACAGTTGGTCGGGCAGTTGCACTTACACAGCAGCATGACGGTCAGTACGTCTGAGCTACCCGAACAAACAGACCTAACTTCATGACCCGGTCGGCACGAACCTGTACGCGTTTGGAGAATAGATGCACTCTGTGGAGAAGTAGTCTAGCTTTTTGAAGTAGGCGTACATGACGATCTCCTTCTCATACGTGTACTTGAATGGCTTGGAGCGAGGAATGGAGCCCTCGGTACCCTGCACTCGGCAAAAAGAACAGAGAATTAATGGCCGGGTTTCAGAACCACATACACCAAATTACCGAGCTAATGGCACTCCAAACGGCGCACACACACGCACGCACACGCAAGCACGCACGCACGCACGCAGGTACGCACGCACGCACGCACGCACGCACGCACGCACGCACACGCACGTACGCACACACACGCGAACACACAACATATTTGGACATCTGGACCACACGATAACAACTCTGGCTGATGGCTGCACGTCCGGGCGGCATCGCGCATCTGTGTGTATTACGGCTGCAACCGGACGATGAGCTAGCACTTCGGGTTTAGCAGGCACCCATGGCATTATCCAGAAACAGAGACAGACAGTCATCTCCCCAGAAGGAATCTGTCGCTTGCTGACTGAGAGCGTCTTGCCACTTTAATGGGTGAATCTTCAGTTTTGCCTCGCTGGCAGGGCCGCAGCCAAGGAAAGGGCATGATGCACCCAGACCTCCTACTTAAGGTCGGATTTTTGTCACCGCAAAAGACTCCAGAGAGGTAAAAAAAAAAATACCGGCGTGGCGCTTAGTAACCGGGCTCTGCTCTGACCCCCCCCCCCCCCCCCTTAAAACAAAATCCTGGCTGCGCCCCTGCTGGCTGACGTCATCCAACTGACCCCGTGAGACGTCGCAGGACCGGCTGTGAACCATAAGCCCTAATGCCACTTCCATCCTCTACCATATATTCAGCTGTGGTGCTGTCAAGACAAGCGCACTGGGCTCACAGGCCAGCAAATGTTGCCAGAACAGAGCCCCGACCATGGCTTAATCGATCTCACGCACGCTGCAGTATTGCCGCGGTGTATTGGGCTTAAAATGACTTCACTTGGATTCCGCTGAATGGCACCCACTCTCCATTTCGTCAAAGTGGGTGGGGGGGGGGGGGGAGCACGCCACATTGTGCCTCCCCCCGCTCCTGGACTTAGGGACATTTTTTATTATTCATTTTTGTATACGTGAAGCCGTCTTCCCGCGCACACCCCTTGCAACCTAGGCATGGTACACATGTGCATTCATTGTGTCTGGATCATGGTGAATTATGTCATTTTTAGGCTAAGTAACTCGTAGAAGATACGACAAAATGAGCTGCAGTTGGCTGTTACATATCGTCAAAATGAGCCACGACACTCGATGTTTCCATGGTTGGTCACGGTCAGCCGGTCAGTCGATTTCATCAGCTGATGGCTTATGACTAATGCAGTTTGGCTTTGACTAATGAAGGGCTTTAAAATATGCATGTGTGCGTGTATGTAAGTATGTTTGTATCTATGTATGTGCGTACGTGTTTGCATCCATGCATGTATTTAATATAAAAATGGTATGTAACCGGATGTACGTCCAGGACATGGCGTAGAAACAATACAGAATGTTCACGGCCTCATGCCAATGCAGATAAATACCAAACCAAGTCCACGATTACTGTTAAAAGTACTAAGAACATAATGTACACAACTAGAAACACCACAAAAATGTGAAGGCAAAACCGGTATGCGATTATGAATGCGTATCAGCCAGATCACCAAATATCCAATCTCCCCTCTCCCCCAGCTGTTTACGCCCCCCACGGCACGCTTGAGGGCGGACAGTGAGCATGACTTCCTTACACCGACCGGCAGTCCATTTCACGGGGACGACGTTCGGTGCCGAAGCCGCTCTGTGAGCGCGCCAGCCGGTATTTTATCAGCTCCAGCCGCGCTGCCCCGGCGGAGTGAGTGGTACGGTGGACACCGAGGACCTGGCGCTTAACATGCCGCGCAATCCGGGGGCCCGCTCTGGCAGTTTGAGGCCTTACGGATTTTGGTAACGTCCCGCACTCTAACTAACCTTTCTACTCGGGTACATTCCAGGGCCTGGAGCAGGAGCGCAGCCAGAACCTTGGCAAGGGGGAGGGAAAGGATTGACAAAGGGCCTCCTGATAGTAAAAGCCCCCCCCCCCAAAAAAAACCAAATCGCCGGATATGGCCAATTTGCTATTGAAGACATGTTTATTTAGACATCTTATAAATACATATCCATTTAACCACATACGTATGCATATATTACACATTTTTCCCTCTATTACTGGAATATTGGGCAGACGCTATCGCGAGATCAATTCCGCCTTAGTTTATACTAAATAAACTGGCAACATCACGCGTTAAAAGCCCGCATGAAATAAATCATCAGCGCTCCTCATCTCACAACGGTCTAGTAGACTCTTTTTAAACCGATACAACTCGGAAACTTTGTCAGAATTTTTTCCCGGGTTGTACAGATAGTAAGGATTCCACGACTGTAGATTGAAGATCAAAATGGGTCAAAAATTTGTATTAACACGGCCACGCCACGTTTGTCTGGATATGTTCAACATTCAGTCAGAACTGATTGGTGGTATAAATTATGTGGCGCACTTTTGAGCATGCGCGCTCGCATATCTCGGTAACACAAAACTCGACGCCAGGCGTTGCAGTCCCCCTAGGCCACGCGCCATTGGCTCTGTGGCTAATACTGGGTTGTGATCAACAGGTGAACGAAAATGGTGACGCATCTTAAAGAAGTACCTTTGAACGCTTCTGGAAACCACATCGCCCATTTAGAGGTCTTCCGGGCGTATATTTCATCTGTGCGGTTTTTAGATTGGTGACAATAAAGTATTGGTCTTTACAGCACCGTGAAGTGGTGCTCGAATCTGGTGATGGAACTGAACGAGTAAAGGTAAAATATGCATTCCCGGTGTTACTGTATTTGTTAATCTGTCTCGAAGACGACCTCGAAGTCGGAAAAAGAGATTCGCCCAGTATCATCTTTGAACTATATGAATTAGTTCTGAGAGACATCCAAAAACATTATTTTACGATAGTCATTGTTACACGCTCGGCGCCCGCCCACTGGCGATACTTGCAGTGGCCAACGCCGTTCGGTTTTACGAAAACTGCGAACCAAGCCACCGCTATCGTTGCTCTCCGAGATTTCGGGCCCGTCATTGGAAGTGTATGACGCGCTCAGCTGCTGGGACTACATGGCGCCGCCAGCCTCTCAGACTGGCTGGAAGGGCGGGCACCGCGCGGAACTGAGCGCCGCACCTAAGGTTCCTCAAACGCGCACTGAGTAAGGCAGGCTTGTTATCCACCACAATATCGGCACCCGGCGCGCACTGTCAAACCTTTTGATGGTATTTACTTCACCTGTCGATTCTGCAAAATAATGAACGTTCTCAGGGAAACGGGATGGCGTTATGCAGTTCGAACTCATTTCGACCCTCTATTTTCAACAATAATGAGACCTATTATTTCCGGTAGAGATGAGTACAACACTACGGGTCACATTGTTGTTCCCGATCAAGGGCTGAAGGGCCATCCTGTCCCACCGCGGTGCGCTTTCCGGTCGTCATTCTGGCGACACGGGGCGTCATCTCGTGGCCGATCCGGAGGCCCTTAGAGGGATACATCACATCACCTTGGTCCATTCCCTGACGCGGGGCAATTCTGACCCGCAAAGTTGACCTTAGGTCGACGCATGAGCCGTCATTAACGCAGCAACATCCTTGTTCGCTGCAGGTGGTCAAATAATTACACATAGACTCCACTTGGGCCGACCAACGCAAGAGACCCTCTGCCAGTCGGCCTCCCGCCCCTGTCCCTGTCAAGCAAATCTTCCCCTGACCGACTCGAGGCCCCGCGTTGACACAAAATGACCACAGTGCTCTGTTAGGCACTCTGCGCCCCTGAACGATACAAGAGCCCGACCAATGTGAATCGTGGACCCGACCATGTCCCTGCTTGGGAAATGGGCCATCAGAGCTCAGACCGCCATGCGGCCGACTGTTCTTTGTTCGTGACATGACGCCTGACACATGTTCATGACGCCTTCGCCCCAATCGCACACTTAACACCGTAGAACTTCAGTACCCAACCATGAGCACCCGCGTTATTCGAGCACGTGATCTCCCGGACAATCAATCCCCAATCCTTTTGGGGCGACCCTATATAACGCAATCTTTCTGTTTAAACACAAAAAAACAAATGTATCCGAGACCCAAGTGCATGCACTCTTCACTGAGTTCAAAGAATGTGATCAGCACACCTTTATATATATATATATATATATATATATATATATATATATGTTGTCTCTTATGTTGAAAATAATCAAGCTGCAGTACACCGGGGGGGGGGGGGGGGGGGGTAGTGAAGTAATGGTGATGACTTCAGGTACCTGTAGCAGCATTACAGGAATACATCTGTATTTCGTTGGGCCAGTACAAATCTTTTGATCACCTTCACTGAAAGGGCTCAGAGGTCACAATGGTGTTTGTCCGCGATAATTAGAACGCGCATCGCACAGATGGCCATGTGTGCCGTACAAAACGCTCCATGCAGATAGCAGACACATGCCTCGCAAATGACGGAGACGTGCTGTGCAAAGGACGCAAACTTGCCGTGACCGTGCGTTGGGGACACGTACTGAGCAGATGAGAGCACGTGTCGAGCAGATGAGAGCACGTACCGTGCAGATCTGAGCACGTACTGTGCAGATGAGAGCACTTACCGTGCAGGTGAGAGCACGCGCCGAACAGATGAGAGCACGTACCGTGCAGATCTGAGCACGTACCGTGCAGATGAGCACGTACCGTGCAGATCAGAGCACGTACCGTGCAGATCGGAGCACGCACCGTGCAGATGGGGGCACGTATCGTGTATATTAGAGCCCGTACCGTGCAGATCAAGGCACGCACCAAGCAGATGGGAGCACGTACCGTGAAGGTGAGAGCACGTACTGTGCAGATCAGAGCACGTACCGCGCAGATGAGAGCACGTACCGTGCAGATCAGAGCACGCACCGTGCAGATGAGAGCACGTACCGTGCAGATCAGAGCTCGTACCGCGCAGATGAGAGCACGCATCGTGCAGATCAGAGCACGTACTGTGCAGATCAGAGCACGTACCGTGCAGATGGCGGTGCAGCGCTGCAGGCGCGCTATGTCGCCGCGCAGCACGTTCATGATGACGGTCTCGGCGATGTCGTCGGCGTTGTGGCCGGTGACGATCTGGTCGACGCCGAGCAGCGCCGCGCCACGGTCAAGCGCCTGGCGTCGGAACACGCCGCAGAACGTGCAGTTGTTTCGTAGACCCACCTGCCGGCAAGGCGCTCTGAGACGAAGCTAGGTGCTCGACGCTGACACTGACTACTGTCTCGGAAAAACCACGGACACATCACAAGCTGGTGACAGTTGCCCACTGAATATGAACGCATAATTAAATGGAGGCCTGCGAGTATTCTACGTTGTTCCGTGCGTCGGTTTGGTGTTTATAATTTCCGCTTGCTGCAGCATTCACCGCCACGGCGCTGCATGTGCGCCTGTTCAGTGCTAAGAACGCTGGTGTTTGCTGACGGAATAATTTGTCGGACTATCGTCCTCATCTGGCGTGTTAGGCTGTACACCCCGTCTCAGTTCTTCAGTAAAAGTTGTTGTTTGCATTGCTTTAATCGCCGAACACATAAGCAGGCGGTGCACCGTCACCATTAGCAGCCGGCAGATGTCGACCGCGGGCGACGCTAGGCGCTGACCTGACGGACGATGTCGTCCATGGTCCAGCCGTACAGGTCGTGGTAGGAAAGGACGGTGAGCGGCAGGCCGTACTGGTCTCGGTTCCGCTTCACCGTCTCCAGGCTGTCGTCCCGGTAGCCGGTGATGCCCTCATCGATGCTGAGCAGCACCAGCCGAAGACCGTAGTCGTACCTAGCGCCGGCCCGGGTTAGACCAGGTCAGGTCAAGCCAGCTTGGCGTCTGGTGTCTAGCACAGAACACATGACTGGGTGCAGTCGATACTGTCATCTGCATCAGGGCCTCAGGCTCCGCTCCATAGGTCCTGTAATGTTCTGCTGAGCTCGGCTCTACCTCGAAGGGCTACGACAGAGGGCAGGTCAGCAGCCAGACGTAAGGTCATCACAAGAAGCTAGGTCATTCAGAGGCAACCTGAGCAGTCTAGTCAGGTAGCGCTCGAGAAATGGTACATAAGGCTCGTAAATCTGGGGAACACAAGCGCCAACCAGTGAAGAAATCGTAAGGTAACAAGTCTGTTCACTTACATTCCAATGTACTATTCAGTAAAACGCGTGGAGTTAGTGTTCATTACGAAAATACCGAAAACCCTAGTAATCTATCCTGGTACACGTTTCAACCAAAACAACTAAGCTTGCGAACCAGTGCCGCTATAGATGGGCGCAGCGCGTGGCGGGGGGCATGTGGGCGGTACACGCGGCCGCCGTCCCGCCGGGCCCCGCCCTCACCTCTCGTTCAGCTCCTTCATCACGTGAGCCAGCACAGTGGAATCCTTGCCGCCGCTGGCCGCTACGGCCACGTACTGCCCGCGCTTGAACAGGCCGGCCGCTGTCACCGTGTTATGCACCTCTGTCTCGAACGCCCAGAAGAAGCATTGGCGACAGAGCGCGTCGCCCGTCTTGGGTCGCTGCCGAGTACAGGGCAATTACATTCGGGTATTGGGTAGCGGCCGAGCACAGCACTCACATCCGGGTATTGATTCGCTGCCAAGCAGGGCACTCACATCCGGGCATGTGTCGTTCCGACCAGAGCACCCACATTCGGATATTGGGCCGCTGCCGAGCACAGCACTCACATCCGGGTATTGGCTCGTTGCCGAGCAGAGCACTCACATCCGGTTATTAGGCTGCTGATGAGCAGGGCACTCACATCCGGGTATTGGGTCGCTGCCGAGCACAGTACTCACATGCGGGCATTGGGTCGCTGCCGAGCACAGCACTCACATCCAGATATTGGATCGCTCCGCGCAGAGCACTCACATCCGGATATTGGATCGCTCCGCGCAGAGCACTCACATCCGGATATTGGATCGCTCCGCGCAGAGCACTCACATTCGGGTATGGGGTCGCTCCGAGCAGAGCACTCACATCCGGATCGCACACCGGCAACACAAACGGGAGTCTCTCCAGGCTCGCGTCCCGTGAGGGCACCAATCACCGTCCAAGCCGTTTTGGACCTGGCACTTGGTCCAAACACTGAGGAGCAATTGTCATTGGTGCAGGTTACAAGATCAGGTAGCAGAGAAGGAGAAAGCCTCTGATATCACTCGCTCGCGTATCTATCAATTTTTCATAGCTGATGGAGGATGGAAAGCCTCGGCAGCAAAGAAAAAGAAAACGTTCGATGTCTGTCACTTGTATACCTAGCAAGAAAACTTACCACATCAGTCGCTCGTGTATGTAGCACGAAAACTTCCGATGTCAATCGTTCGTGTATCTAGCAAGAAAACTTCCCATATCAGTCGCTCGTGTGTCTAGTAAGAAAACTTCCCACGTCAATCGCTCGTGTACCTAGCAAGAAAACTTCCCACATCGACCGCTCGTGTACCTAGCAAGAAAACTTCCGTCAACCGCTCGTGTACTTACCAAAAAAAATGCCAACGTCGGTCGCTCGTGTACCTAGCAGGAAAACTTCCCCACATCAGTCGCTGGTGTACCTAGCCAGAAAACTTCCGATGTCAATCGTTCGTGTATCTAGCAAGAAAACTTCCCACATCAGTCGCTCGTGTGACTAGCAAGACAACTTCCCACGTCAATCGCTCATGTACCTAGCAAGAAAACTTTCCACATCGTTCGCTCGTGTACCTAGCAAGAAAACTTTCCATCTCGGTCGCTCGTGTACCTAGCAAGAAAACTTCCGTCAACCGCTCGTGTATCTAGCAAGAAAATTGTCAACGTCAGTCGCTCGTGTACCTAGCACGAAAACCTCCGGCATGAATTGCTTGTGTACCTAGCAACACAATTTTTCATGTCAATCGCTCGTGTACGTAGCAAAACGAAATTCAGCGTCAGTCGCTCGTGTACCTAATAAGGACACTTCTGGCGTCAACCGTTCGTGTACCTAACAAGAAAACTTCCGACGTCAATCGCTCGTGCACCTTGCAAGAAAGCCTCCCACATCAGTCGCCCGTGTGTCTAGCAAGAAAACTTCCGACGTCAATCGCTCGTGTACCTGACAAGAAAACTTTCGACGTCAATCGCTCGTGCACCTTGTAAGAAAGCTTCCCACATCAGTCGCTCGTGTGTCGAGCAAGAAAACTTCCTACATCAGTCGCTCGTTGGCCCAGCAAGAAGGCTTTCGAAGTCAGTCGCTCGTGTACCTAGCAGGAAAACTTTCAAGTCAGTCGCTCGTGTACTTAGCAAGAAAACTTTCGTCAACCGCTCTTGTACCTAGCAAGAAAATTTTCAACGTCAGTCGCTCGTGTACCTAGCAAGAAAACCTCCGACATCATCGCTCGTGTGCCTAGCAAGGAAACTTCCGACGTCAATCGCTCGTGTGTCTAGCAAGAAAATTTTCAACATCAGTCGCTCGTGTGCCTAGCAAGAAAGCTTTCGAAGTCAGTCGCTCGTCTACCTAGCAAGAAAACTTCCGACGCCAATTGCTAGTGTACCTAGCAAATTGCCCTAGCACGGTGATGATCCTGTAGTGATGGCGAATCCTCTAGGTAGATGAGGGAGGGAGACGCGAGTTCTTTGTCTTCCTTTCTGAAATATAACAGGTGGCGACCTCGTGCGAAATATGCATGAAGGCTGAAGAAATCACACGCTTTAAAGAAATCACCAAAACAGGAGTAATATGGCACAAACGTAATCCCCAATACAATCTTAATGCAAAGCAAATAGCAGTGCCCCCAAATGTGAAGTACATCAAGCCACTAAACGTTGCTAATCGAAACTATTAAATTAACCGGATCATTGCCACTTATTACCTTAAGGATCGCATTTTTCCCGCAGTCCGTTTTGCACTTCATTGGCATAGTCTGTAACAAAAAGCATCGATGAAATCCTAGAAGGCAATGCTACCAATTAACAGCGTCAATCTGACGACGTTTCGGAGAGCCCTTCATCGTTCACTTCCAAGTTGCAGATGCCACACACCTTTTTTGTTGTTGTATTTAACAATACACGATCGTACATGCTGTGAGAACACATCAGGTGGAGCATCTAAAGATCACAAGTCGTTCGAGGCAACAAACAAAGCGTGTATTGCCGAAGTGCTTGCATGAAACACCATTAGATGGCACCAGAAATGCAACCAATGGGATTCTTCGCCGACATATTTTAAAATGAGAACGATACTGATGGGCCACAGTAACCCCACAAAAATGTGATCCACACGCTCAGAGCAGCATGATAAGAAACATAGCGCAGAACATACCCAACAATGCGGTGTGTTGGCGCCAATGGCCGCAGCCCAGTATGCGTGACATCCGATGCATGAACACAAGCGAGAGGACTAGTTCGCAAAAAAATAAACGTCGCCTTGACGCGATCCAACGGTGTTTCTGTTCGCTCGACGTTTCGGCTCGTTTCACCACGGCTGCCGTCACACAAAGCTGTCGTCGTCGTCTGGCACGGGCAGCGAGTGCTGCGGGGGCGCCGGCACTGCAGCGGCAGAGGGACCGCGCGCGCCGCCGGCCGTGTTCAGCGGCCCCAGCGCCGAGTCCAGACCCTTGCTCCGCTCCAGCTCGGCCCACGGGTTCTCGGTGGCGAAGCGCACGAACGTCTCGTCCAAGCACAGGCCGCCCTGGCCGCCATGACCGCCGCGCCCGCGCGGGGTGCCGAACCCACCCCTGCCGCCGGGACTGAAGCCGCCCCCACCGCCACGGTTGAAGCCACCCCTGCCGCCGGAGCTGAAGCCACCCCTGCCGCCGGAGCCGAAGCCGCCCCTGCCGCCGGAGCCGAAGCCACCCCTGCCGCGCGGCGTGCTGGACCAACGGGCGCCACGCGCCGCCGGCGAGGGCGTGAAGTCGGGCACCCGGCCCGGCGAAGGTGTGAAGCCGACCAGCGGCGAGAAGCGATGCGCGCGGTTGCGGTTGCGGCCGCGGCCGCCGCGCGGCGTCATTGGAGAGGTGTCGGACTGGGACCACTCCATGGCCAGGGCTCAGGTGCTACTGGCAGACACTGTCTGACAACTGCAAGCTGATGAAGGTGCAAGCCGGTAATTACTCCGGGCAGAAGATTGGCGTTTGTGCCAGGTGGACTAAAATGTGTTATCCCAGAGTCCTGCTGTTCACTTTTTCTGTTCTTTTTTCTGAACTTGTTTTTCACCAAGTTCACTGACAAGAACTGATGTCACTGTGAAAGAGAGGTGGACAGTGTTCTAGGCTAGTCAAACACACACAAAACTGTTATTCATGATACAATTTTGCTTAAATGACATCCTAATTACAATTATATTATAATTATGATTCCTTACATTATTCTTGCCATGATTGAAAACATGCTATGGGAAGTTTTGAAGTAACATACTTAATTACTGCAACAGCTCTCTAACATTACCCACAACACTGTTCCCTTAGTAATCACATAGCCACTGGTTGGGCTCAGTATGTGACACATCTTTTGGTGCCTTTGCTAAAATGTAGTTAGGTAATAAACACACACTTAGAGAGTAAAAGCTCAGATTTTACACTTCCCAGAGCCACGGTAAAAATGACAAAAAAAACATTGCAAAACACTGCTGCCGTCACAAGGCAAAAAGCCGTATCTCCGAGTTTTTACGATCATAAAGTTGCTCAGAAAGACAAAAAAGGGGTTTCTCCCATATTGAAGGGTGAAGTTAGCACAGGCAAGGGCAAAAATACACCATTCTGACCGCGTTTACATGGCCAATCCTAAGATAACGTTTTTGAGACGCTTAAACGTAAGGTTTTTAAATTAAGATGCAAAAATGTTTTGCCTTGCGGAAAGAGTCGTCACCCATGGGACAATCCGGCAGGCAAAAAGCCGTATGTGTCAAAAAGCCGTTTCTTGGAGTTTCTCGACTGAGTCATGGGGTGGATTTCGCAGGCAAAATGCTGTATCGCTTAACCCTGCACATATTTTTCATTGCGTGGGGTTAATAATGATTCGAGATATAGGTGAAAATAATGCTTCGGTGTTGAATTGAGAGACAAAAATCGCCGGGCCCGATGACCCGTACCCAACATGGCCCGGCCTGGCCTACCATAAGTTTTGGGAAGTGATAAACACCGAATCTTGTGACCGTTCTCTTCATACAATGCTTTACGTTAGGTAAGGTCACGTCCGGTACTTGCATTTGTTTGCACTTGGGACCCCGAATCCAAGCAGAATGCTGCATTTCGGGCGTGGGGTCTCTTAGTGCATGGGTCTGAAAATGTCGCCAGATTGCCAGCTCCAGCGGAAGCTGAGGGTTAACTGAAAGAATGCCTCATACTTATCGGATGTATTGCCAACAGATGTAAACATTAAGCAAATGCAATGACACCGCAGGCAACCTGATAACCATAAAATGTATCACTCACTGCCACTGAGCCTCATCACCTTTCTGCCGTCAAGCCCCAGAATGCATCAAACGGAGCCGCCTTCACATGTTCCGCTCCCGAACGGAACACCTAACTGATGCTGATGGAAAAGTCTGGTAACAAGCGGTGTTACAGAAAAAAACAGATACACAAACTACATCACAAAACCATACCCAAAATAACAGATCCACAGCTGACGTGCGTTGCAGTATTAGGAGCTTCGAATGGAAGGAGCAGTTATCAAACACGTCCAGGGCCATCAGGAGCCCTGTATGATTCGCTTAGTCGTTCAGCTCCCGAGCGGACGAACCGGTCAGGCTCTCCCAAAAGGCACGCCTCTGTGGCGGCAGCAGTGGGAGGAGCTGCTGCTTCAATGTCTCCAGCTTTGCTCTGTTGACACCGCGCGGACGCATCTTTGCCGCTGGCTGTTCCCGTGGGAAGAATGTCGTTTTTGCTAGGTCGAACGCACGCCAGCTGTTGGATGAGTGGCTTACTTTGGTGAACACCAGGTCCTGGCCACGGCGAACCTGGATCACCTTGCATGAGGCCAGATATGGTCGGCAGTTTTCCTCGGTTAGGAGCTTCAGCTTCTGGGCACTCACGCCACTTGTGATGTTGAGGAAGTCATTAGGCTTCATCTCGATCACCTTCGACGAGTCTTCGATAACGGTTGTAAAGTCCTCCATGTCTGCCACCACTCTACGACGCTTCAGGCTCTTGTTGCAGACCTGGTGGACTGCGTCCGCCGACATCGAAGTGTGGCCCTTTTGGAGGAACTTGAGGGTCACCTGATTCAGCATCTTACCAGGCTTGTTGACGGCCTGCATGAGGCCTGTAATAAGTATCCAATTTTTGTTCTGCCCGGAACAATTATCTAGCCAAATCGTGATGGCCTCCACATCTCGCTGCAGCTCGATGTACCGAACGAAGGCGGAACATACGTCAGCCGCGTCCCGCCCCGCTGTACCCTCATGCCACACGATCGAAACAGCCTTCGGTTCTCGTTTGCCGAGCGGTGCAAACGTCTCGTTGTAAACCACAAGTCGAGACGTGAATATGGCGACTTTGTGCGGGAGCTGTGGCAGAAGGAAGATCCGCATCATATCTGCGGACACGACAAGCTCATTGCCTTCCCACACTCGTTCTGCGTCTTCCTTATAAGCGATCCGCGCCTCGTTTCTGTGCTTGATGTGCTGGATGTGAGCTTGGCAGTCAGGACACGTCCCGTCGTTGTCCCTGCACGTATGCAGTGAATGTGCCGCGCATTCGGCACATTCCTCGTTACCAAGTTTTGTGAACCCTATGTTCATTTCAGCCATGGTTCGACGATATCTTGTTTCTGAGCATATGTTGGTGCCATGCATTTCTTGAAAATGTTTGAAGAGTATGGCTGTATTCAAATCCGGAGGCAGGTACCGCCGCTGCGGAGCGTGCAAATACCTATAATGAGGAGCAACTGGCTTAAATGACATGATGTGATGCTCGAGGATTGTGCTGTCCAATTTGTTTCTTGGGGTCTTCGTTCCTCTGCGATCCATGGGGGCTGCTGGCTGAGAAGTGATACTGGCGAGGACTGGCTTGTCATTGCCGTTCTTAAAGCCCAAAGTTGCCAGGAAGAATATTTTGCATACGGCAACAGCTTCGGTGCCAACCGGGAGATGCCACCGAAGGACTCGTCTTCTTTTGTTTTCTTTTTGCTCATCTCCTGATTTCGACCCGCTGACCCGATCCGTTACGTAGCGACGGTACCACTCACGTCTCGCCGACCACGACAGTGAGTTTACTGCAGTATTGATCTCTTCTCGCACATTTTCCGGAACTCTCCGACCACATTTCAGCTGGCAGGTACCCTCTTTGCAGCCCACTGGCGCTGACAGGAGCAGATGCTTGGTTTTGAAGCCCTCAGTTTTGTTTTGAGGAGTTCGTGCCCGTTGTCTTTTTTTAACTTTCGTATGGCCAGCGTCCCGGTCGTGCAAGTCTAGGCCAAAGTCGTGGGCTTCCGGGTCCGGGAGGCCTGCGTCCGGAGCTTGCATGTCTGCGAGGCCAGCGTCCGGGTCTTGCAGGTCTGGGCCAGCGTCGGGGGCTTGCAGATCCGGGAGGCTAGCATACGGGGCTAGGTCTGAGAGGCCAGCGTCTTGGGGTTGCAGGTCTATGAAGTTACTGTCTGTGGCTTGCATGTCTGGGAGGTTAGTGTCCTGTTCGGTATGGATTGGTTCTGAGCGCAATGACACATGTGGACTGGAAGTGACGGCAGGACAGAATTGGGCAGCTTCGTAATGACGTGCGTTTGACGTAGAGATGGGAGCGCTCTGGCTGTCACTGGTGTTGTTTATGGCAGAAAAAATCGACCGAATGATTACTATCAAACAATACTGACATGCTACCAGTAAACCAGGACAGCTCACTTGAACCATGGGGGATGTCTGGCGTGGCGCACATCTCAGAGCCCCGCGCAGTCACTGTAACAGTTGCTGGCAGAGTAGCCTCGGCGACCGCTAGAGTGGCGGCGGCGGTATCCGGCAGGGTGGCGGCGGCGGTAACTGGTAGAGTGGTGGCGGTATCCGACAGGGTGGAGGCGGCGGTATCCGGCAGGGTGGCGGCGGCAGTATCCGGCAGGGTGACGGCGGTATCCAGCAGGGTGGCGGCGGTATCCGGCAGGGTGGAGGCGGCGATAACTGGTGGAGTGGCGGCGTTGGCAACCGGTAGCGGGGTCACGCTGGTACCTGGCGGATTGCTGGCTCCGGTACGCGATAGTGGGGTTATAGAAGCCGGAAGGGTGGCCAGAGTAGACAGGCTGGCAGCAGTGCTCGATGGAGGGGCCCCGGTAGGCATGCAGGTGGGGACGAGCTGCGTTTTCTCATCAGGGATATCTGAAATGCGAAAACACCAGATGTTCAAGGCTGGATGCTGGTTGACCTCAACCAACCAGTGAACACGAGAGGTTGGGAACAGCTGGCCGGTCGGGGGTGAACGAATGTAAACAAACGCCAGGGGACAGTGGTGTGTGCACTTTTCAAGAACTGTCCGCAAACACCAAACCTCGGATGTGAGAAAATTTATGCCAGTTTTAACAGCTGCGCAACAATCCATTCATGTCATAACATGACTAAAACAAGTGGAGCAATTCGTGTAGTGCGACTTGAAGCATGCTCAAGAATCGCATAGTTTAATACGTACCAGCCTAACTAAGATGTCGTGGGTTCTAGTTCCCCCTTATTGGCTCTCAATAATAGACAAAATCTATTGTGTCTCATACATGATGCGATTTATGTGCACTTTGGCCTCTCCGCAAGTGGACACGCTAACGGTAAGCGGCAATGCTGTGCAAAAGTAACAATACTCTATACGGAATGCTTCTCATGGTTAGTTCATTATGGAGAGAGCGCCAGAGAGAGAGACAGAGACAGAGACAGAGACAGAGAGAGAGAGAGAGAGAGAGAGAGAGAGAGAGAGAGAGAGAGAGAGAGAGAGAGATATATATATATATATATATATATGAGAATGAAATGAACTACCTAGAAATATGTTTAACGAGCGGGTTTACATTAACAAAACGAATTGGGGCATTGCTATAAACGCGGATACATTGAACTGGATGCAGTTGACATTTCCTCAAGAAAATGTTAGAAACACCAAACGCTGCGTTCCGCATCACCTATTTTTCCAAGTAACCATATCACAGCCATGTGCAAGAGCAAATGTATCTTAAGAATGCAAATGTATGCAATGCAAATGCAAATGCGTTCGAATGCAAATGTATCTTAAGCATGTCAAGACTGATGGGTGAATATCAAACAGAATGTTTGTTAGGTCAATAGTATCGTTCATCACTTACCGAATGCCAGACGACGCTTCTTCTTTGCTGCAATCGTCCCGGTCCAGTATTTGCCGTTGTGTCTCAGTCGCACTCTGCCTCCAGCCTCCAGCGTTGACCCAGGCATTAGTCGCAGATCAGAAATAGCAACATAGTGCCATTCCCCGAAAGATGTGTCATCCCAATCTACTCTAACCACTCGTCGTTTTTTCCTCTTCTTTTCGTCCATGGTTGGTTCACTTAGGTCAAATTGGGTCAAATCGAAATATTTAAATTCTGGTTAAAACTCAATCAGACAACTCGTGGCCAATTTGTTCCGTCTTACGCGGGCTAACCGAATCTGGCTATACGTCAGGTTTCGGAACGAGGAGTAGGCAGTTTATGTGATGAAGCAGAGGCGTAGCCAGGATTTTTACGGCGCGGGGGCGAGGCGATGTTCAGCGATAAATCACGGTGATTTTAACCCTGTGTGAGGAATCATCTTTGCTACTCACAGAAACATCCAGGCCTCGGGGATCCCAGCTTGGGCCCCTTGCTCCCCCCCCCCCCCCGATCCCTGGCTGCGCCTCTGTAATTATTCACGTGCAACCGGCAGCACGCGCAATCGTCACGCAGCCGTAGTACTACTTCTGAGAATACGTGTTTTTTGCGACGGAAAATGCATTGGTATCGGGAGCGCTTTTGGCAGGCAAAAAGCCGTATGTCCCATTTTGTTCGGATGCGGCTTTTTACCTGACGGAAGACTCCTTTTGCGGACCAAAGCACAGTGAACAAAAAGCCGTATGTGCCCTGTGCAGTAGATACGGCTTTTTGTCTGGCTGAAATCGTACTTGCGGCCTTTTGCCTGCCGTGCATCATTGTCAGTTAGCGCGATGCGGCTTTTTGACAGATCATATACACTTATAATTCGAAATACAAAACGCGCGTAAGTGTATGCTCGCCACCATCAGAGGCGTCTTCTCGAAAGCTTCAAAATGACACCAAAAACGAAAAATCGATGAAAATCGAGTTACGGCTTTTTGCCTTTTGACGGCAGACTGGTGATGAGGCAAATGCTGCTAGTTATTATTCCAATAGATGGTTTAGCCATGAGACAAGGTGGGTCAGCTTATCCTTGCCATACCTCTGCAGAAGATGAAACACTAGCTGAACAGCCAAAAATGGTCACATAATAATTCATAGGTACATATCTCACATGCGCAAAGCATAACCACACACACCTGTCACATTACATCCATTTGTGTAAAAGACCTTACTTATTTAGATAACATTAATCAGACATACCAACAAAATAACACAGCACAATAGCCTTCCTAGGATGCTCCTTCAGAATGTCTTAGTGCAAATGTTTAATGCACATTGATAATGCATTTGTAGTTCACTTCAACTGAGCTTGAACCTGACATAATTGTTTGCTGAAATTATGAAATGCCAATGATATTCAGGCATGCTGAAATGCTAACCTGAATATCTATCCAATTCATCTGTGAAACATGCAGATTTCCTTTGTTCTTATTCCAAAAAGCTGGTTCAATAACAGCAAGGCCCAAGGCTGATAATGATGATTATCCAAAGTGTTGATACCAATTATATCACACCAAGAAATATGATTAACAGAGCAGTACTCAGGTACTGACACTCTTGACAGACAATCCCAATGTTTAAAAGGAAATGTTGCACATGGTAGGACATTTTGGCAAATGTCAAATATGATGGAAAAGACTCACTTGTATCAATCAGTATTGTATTAGGTGCAAAGGCTCCACATAATACAATTTCACTGCCTAATGGAGGGCTGCCCAATAACCCAGTGTTTGACTACATCCTGGAACTGTTTTATGACTTAACAGTCATTCCCAGAGTGCCTGTGTTAGACTTCCTGCTGAGTCTGAGTCTGACTAACTTTAACACTAGAACTTGTGGTAAGGTGGCTTGTTTATTCAAGTACTTGATAAACCAGACAACCATCATGTGTGCTTATTTTGGGCAATCCCATGATGTTCTTGCATATTCAAGTGATTTCATATTTTTACTTCCATTCATATCATAGGTTGCTATGCTGTTCTTATGTTTTTGATCTACCATCTTGTCTCTGTCAAGCTAGCAGCATGGCCAAAACGTCAGTATTATGTATCAAAAAATATGTCAAGTGATCATGACCTGCATTTTACAGGCTAAAAGAAGTGTTCCACACTTATGTGGGGTTTTGAACTGAAATAGCCATCTTGAAGACCTTTCAATGCTGTTCACAATCCTGTCCTTCTTAAGACCTAAGCCCTTCTAATTCCTAAGCTATGCACCCAAATGGGAAAAATGGGGAAAGGTATATTGGGGAGAGTATTTCAGAGTCACCTTAGCATTCGTGACATCCTAATAGCATCATTCAAATCCTGCCATTCCATAAGCCATGTGGCAGTCAAGGCCAATAAATACAATGTAGGCAGGTATATCTGGGCATTTGTGATTATCATCAATAATTCAGTTAGCATCAGACATGACAAAACATGGAAGGTATATCTGGGCATTTGTGATGACATAATCAAACCACGAGACATTTGAGAGGATATTTACCGAATAGAAAATTGTGCTGTTCAGCACAGGCTTTCCACTTAAAAAGTACATGAATAGTACACCAAAAGTCAGCTCATTTTGTCATGTCTGATGATTGCTTCAATATCTTCAAATGTAAAACATTCCCTTTAAGCTGACTGACCAATTGCTGCCTATTGATGTGGTAATTCATGCTGATGTACTCTTAAGGCAAAAGTGTCCTGACATGAAGTCAATATCAGAATTGATGACATGAGGTCAATGGATATATGTTTTAATTTAGGATTCATCTGATATCTTTATGCTATCATTAATAACTATGTGTCCTTAGGATAAACAGAGCTAATCAGCAAAAGTGTGCATGCATCTAACTTTGACATGAGCTGCAATATTCTAAAAGGGCATAAATTTGAACTGCAGGGAGTGGTCTAAAGTGACTAGCTCAGTTTAAAACAATATACAAATGTGAAATAGTCCAATCTGCTTTAAAGTTGTCACTTTTCACCATTTGCCTAATAAAATAAGCCCTTTGCACTTGGTGCCACTTTTTGTCAGTCAATGCTGCTCATATCTGTTGATTCCAAGACAGGAATGGGCATTACTTGATCCCATCAGACAGCTACAAAATTCTTAGGACGTTTTAAGTAGAAGGAGGCAGCAACTCTGCATGAGGAAAGAAGTATATTTTACCTATGACATATTCATAAATTGCAATTTGGTTAGTACTATTTACTCTGAGTTTCCTGCTGGCCAATGACATGCCAAATTGGTGGTACTACCTTCCTTCATTACCTTAAAAAGACAGAACATGGATGTCTAAATACATATATATATATATATACATATACATATATATATATATAGTCACTTTTATCATATAAACCAAAACCTGGCATCAGTAGTGTAAAACTTGCCACTCGGTCATTGTTCACAATGGTACCAGACGCTGAATTATAAGTGTCTACCAACTGACGTCCGTAAGACATAAAACATCATAAATAATCATGCAACAACAATATCAAGTGGAAATCTCATCATCATACCTTCAAAATATAATAATCACGACAGCAACAACGGACGACGGCGAACCCCGGCCTACGATCTGCTGGCACGATACTGACGCGCCAAGGCCATCCCAGCGGATCAACCGGCGTTTCACGTCCGTCGATCTAGCAACGTCTGTCAATCTAGCAGCAGATTGATATCCAGCTGCCAGTTGGATATATAGGGGCGTCACGATCGCCTCAAAAGTTGGTGTGGATGACCTTCTCGACACGCTGATTCCGAGGTCTTTGAGGTGAGATGTTGCGTAGCTTCCGAGTTAAACGGCGCGTAACACTCCAGTATCGCGTCGTATAACTCGGAAGTTACGCAAAATCCCACCTCATATACGCTAATTTTCGGAATTAGCGTGTTGAGAAGGCCCTGCACACCAAATTTTGAGCAAATCGAGACGCCCTGCAGATTCAACTGGGGTGTTACGCATCGTACAACTCGGAAGTTACGCAAAATCCCACGCCAAAGACAGGGATTCTCGGAATCAGCATGTTGAGAAGGCCCTGCACACCAAATTTGAAGGCAATCGAGACCACCGCAATATTACATTGGGGTGTTACGCGTCGTATAACTCGGAAGTTTCACAAAATCTCACGCCAAAGACACTTATTTTCAGAATCAGCGTGTTGAGAAGGCCCTGCACACAAAATTTGGAGGCAATCGAGGCGCCCCGCAATATTCAACTGGTGTGTTACGCGTCGTATAACTCGGAAGTTACGCAAAATCCCACCCCCAATCCCAAATCCCACCCCCAAAGACAGGAATTTTCGGAATTAGCGTGTTAAGAAGGCCCTGTACACCAAATTTGAAGGCAATCCAAACGCCCTGCAACGTCGATCTGGTGATGCTACGCGCCTCGTTACTCGGAAGTTACCCCCAAATCCCACCCCAGACAGGGATTTTTGGAATCAGCGTGTTGAGAAGGCCCTGTACACCAAATTTGAAGGCAATCGAAACGCCCTGCAACGTCGATCTGGTGATGTTTCGCGCCCTATCCCACCCCAAAGACAGTGGTTTTTGGAATTAGCGTGTCGACAGGGTCATGCATACCAAGTTTTGAGGCGATCGTGACACCCCGGCATATCCAACTGGCAGTTGGCTATCAGTCTCCTGCTAGGTTGATGGACGTCGGCGTTTCTTTTTTCGGGTCGGATTTGTTTTCGTTCTGTTTGTATATTGGTCGATGTGGTGGGCAAATATGACATCTTTATGTGGCAGGAATATGGCGTGGAATATGATCTTGGACACCAATACATCGCTGGGTTGCAGGGGGATCAGGTGGCAAATGAAAAGTAAAATGAGATTATGGCAGCTAAATAAAACGTCGTTATACGGTGGACATATGACATGGAGCGTGACTGGTGTACTACAAGGCCCATTACGCTGTCCAGAGGCCCTGTGCTGTTTCCAGGAGAGCTATATGCCCGCTTGCAAGGGCAGCCCGATCCCTAAGCAGCTTTCCACGCTGCACTTGCTTTCTTTGCACTTGCGCGGAAGGCCCTGGGCTGCTGTTGGGGCCCTCTCTAGCTACCGTGCCGGAGTGCTCTTGCCAACCAGGGGCATTTCACGGAATTTTGCTTTTCGCCCCGCAAGGCTCTGTACTCTATAGCCGGGGCCCATAAACCTGTCGGGATATTCTCGGGTGCTCAGGGGCACTTCACGTTGGTCTCGGTTAACCTGCCGACACACTCTCCATATGTTCATGGGTCCTCTACATTGGTCTAGGGCGCTTCCAAATCTATGTTGCTTGGTCCTAATCTATGTCACTATGGCCCTACGCTCTTGTCGGGGGCCACCTGTTAATCTACTCGGGCACACTGGAATGTTTGGGGGCCCTGCACATTAGGTATTTGAATGTAGAGCCCATCGCTCCTGTCGGTGGCCATCTGTTGGCCTGTACACTCGATCTCTTGAGGGCCATTTGAATAGGTCTTTGGTAATTTCCCTTTGCTCAGAGAGCGCCCTGCTCTGGCCGGGGCCCTGTATGTTTGTGTAAGGGATTCTGTGGTGGAGTGGTGCGTGCGCTGCGTTGCTGCCGGGTCGCCGCTGGATGTTTGTACGCCGCCGGCTGCTCCACATTCTTCTCTCGGCCTAATGGTCGTGTTTGGTGCGGCGTGGGGGCCCAGACCAGCTCCAAACTACGACTGGCTCCACGCAGGAAGCCCCATCGGTCCCGGGCGGGTGGCGCGAAGTGGAAAAAGTATGAAAATGTGTGCCATCATTAACAAGCCTTCTTCAATTTCACGTCCCTGTAAAAAGTTGGTGAACCCTCCTTAATCTGGGTCATTGTCCTGATCCTCCCACACGCACTAAACCCTCTATGCACACTCCGGACGATCGCAAACTTTCCCCATACACACCGCTGACAATCATAAACCCTCCCTATACACACGTACGCGGCACTCACATGGTACCTCACTTCACACGTGCACGGCATGCACGCCGCGGACAATCGACATAACATATTTACGCGAGATGGAGCGTCGGCTCACACGCTGCACCGGCGGAGGTGCAGGGCGCTCACGCGGGGTGGTTCATTTGCACAGTCGCTCTCCACCTCATGCATACACGGCATGTACACCGGTGACATTTAGTTTTTTATAAATTTGATGCGAACCTTTTGAATGGATGGATTTCTGGGATCAGCGCTTACGCTAAGCAGTGCTTCTTGTGTGAGCCCTGATCCCCACCATTCGATAGTGCATTTCCAGGCAACGGCAGAATTTAGTGGCGAAAGCTTAACGTGCCGCAATGCTCGGCACGGTCCGTCCTGCCCTGTAACGTCAACTGACCTTTAGCGCGACCACTGCCACTGGCCGCAGGCCATACTTGCCAAAGGCAAATAGCGAGAGCTCTAAAACGACTCAAACCCACCCTGCCATGGGTGGATGGGCCGGAATGCAGGTGTTCTAATCAACTGAGCCAGCGGGACGGACATTTGACGCAATGCACGCGTGTGAGGAAGAGCGTCGGCTCACCCTCTGCGCCGGCGGAGGTGCAAGGCGCTCACGCGGGGCCGTCTCCTCGCACAGTACACTCCGCCTCGCATCGCGGGCGTCCACGACCGTCCTCATGTATACCAGTCGGGCGCTAATCTCAGCCGGCTGGCGCCGGCCGCTGCTCCGCTGCGCTGAGGTCCCAGCTGTCGTACCTGCCGCCGCTCCCGATCCAGCAGCTCTGCGACAGCAGTCAACCAAGCGGGTCGGCCGCTATGCTGCGATGGCGGTTCGTCAGCTGCGTCGGCCGCTGCTCGCTGTCCAACCGGCGTGCAGCTAAGCCAGCCGCGATGGTCTGACGGCTGCTTGTCCACTGCGCCAGACATTGGCTGCCGCCCAGCATTATGGTAAGTGAGTCGGCAGCGCCGGTCCGATGTCGGCTCTCCAGTTACGTCTGCCGCTGCCCGCTGTCCAGCCGGCGCGCATGCAGGTCAGAAGCGCAGGTCCGATGTCGGCTCGCCTGTCGCTGCGCGGGAAGCCGCTCGCCGCGGTCCGATGTCGGCTCGCCTGGGAAGCCGCTCGCCGTGGTCAGATGGTTGCTCGCCAGCTGTGCCGGCCACCGGTTGCTGCCCAGCAGGACTACAGCGCGACAGCAACGACGCTCTGAGCTGCTTTCCAGCCGCGCCGAACGCGGCTTGCCGTTCAGCAGGTGCGCCAGCGAGTCGACAGCGCCGGTCCGATGGCTGCTGGCTCGCTGCGCCGGAAACTGCTTGCCGTCTAGTAAGTGCGCAAGCCAGTCGACGGCGACGGTCTCAGCTGCCCTCCACCCGCGTCGAACACTGCATGATGTCCAGCACGACGGCCGCGTTGAGACGCTGGAGCTCCCGGCCGGCTGCGTCGTCCCGAAGTTCTCTCGCCCCCCGCGCACTGGTTGGTCCGGAGGTGCTTCCGTTTCTCACTGCTACTCGGCGTTTGATCCCTTTCATTCCATCGGTCCATCCTCTCGTCTCTTCCGAAACAACTTGGTCTGTCTTCCATTGTGCCAATTACCTCTGTTTCCGCTCGTCCTGCAGCTAGTCCATTTGGACCTGCGGGGTGTAGCCTTCACCGTATCTTGTCATCAACAGGCCTGTCAAATGTTCCGACTTAAAAATACGAAAATGTTTGCCTACATTAGCCTGCAGGAGAACTACGAATCTTTCAGGGGTCCACCACGTTGGTCTTGGGTTCATCTTGCTTGCTCTGAGGACCCTATACTTGTTGACAGAAGCATCTTTGTTGGCCTCCCGCGGCACCCACAATCGCTCTGGCTCCGTCCCTATTGGCCTTAGTGCCTTAGCCTTCGAGCAGTTCCCGGACATGCGCCGATAAATTTTTGCGCACAATGGTCGAAGGTAATTTTACGTGCCGCCGATGATCAGTGTTATTTCTCTGGGCAGTTCAAAGGGTGACACTTATTATCGCTGTGCGTTACGTTCTTAATACATTTTAAATGATAGGCTACTTCGTATCCCTATATAACAAAGGAAAACTCTTGCATTAGTCATTAGCCATCAGCTAATCATATTGATGAGTCGGCTATTCGTAAGTAAACCAGCAGCCTGGTATGATGCAGCCAACTTAGGTTTATTGCGCCCTTTTTTCAGAAAACCTTTGCCTAAAATGACAGGATTTGCCATGATCTGGAGCAAATGAATAAGGTCCATGTATGCGCGTACGTAGCACGTCCAGATTTCTAGGGCCGCGCAGAGTAGCATGAGTTTTCCTCTTTACTATGATATATCTATATATATATATATATATATATATATATATATATATATATATATATATATATATGTGTGTGTGTGTGTGTGTGTGTGTGTGTGTGTGTGTGTGTGTGTGTGTGTGTGTGTGTGTGTGTGTGTGTGTGTGTGTGTGTGTGTGTGTGTGTGTGTGTGTGTGTGTGTGTGTGTGTGTGTGTGTGTGTGTGTGTGTGTGTGTGTGTGTGTGTGTGTGTGTGTGTGTGTGTGTGCTTTTTATCTCCAAATTTAATGACAAAAATATCAGTATTCTTGTAGGGGGACCCAGACCCTAGGGGGCCCCACAATGTTATGTGGCTTCTCCTGTGATGAAATCCTAGATCCGCCCCTGTTTGCCATCATTCCGCTGTGCAGTTGTACCGCGGCATCCCCCTGTTCTCACAGTACGTCATTCGTAAAGGCGTGCTCCACA